GGGATGCATCACCCCATTAACTCCCCTTGCAGTAGGGGGTGGCTGTGGGGGTCCCCTATAACGGGAGGGGACCCTGGAGCAGCGACCCCCAGTACGGTGCCCCCCCCCCCCCCGGGACCAGCGATTCTCTGGGTGCCAGGCGCGGTGCCCGGCGTCGGTCAATGCTGCTCCTCGGGGTGCAGACCTGCGCCCCCCCCCCCCCCGGTCGTCTCCCGCCTGCTCCGGGCCCAGACCCTGGCGTGAGCCGCCAACGGCGTCTGCACCGAGCCCGGGCACCCGGTGCCCTGGACAGGCCGCGCCAGCGGGAACAGAGCCAGACGGGGCTGGGGGGCGAGAGCGAAACGCCGAATGCCCCGGGCCAGGCCAGCTCCGGCGCCCCCCCCAGGCGAGTGGCACCGCGTGTCCCTCGTCGGCACCAACCCGAGAGTCAGGCTGGCCCGGGGCTGGGTCACCTGGAAGGTGGTTTCCCCAGAGGAGGTGGCAGGTGAACAGGGCTTTCTCTGTGGCCCCATGGCGCCCTGACCAGCTGGGTGCCCCCTGTCAGCCTGGCCTGCAGCCTCCTCTCCCTGGCGCGTGAGCAGTGACCTTTCCTGCCCAAAGCCCGTTTCTTATTTATATCCTGGGAGCTCTCTCTGTCCCATGGCTCCAGCTCTGCCTGCCTCTGCCCGCGTAGCCCTGCCAGGGAGTTGGGGGGCCCCTCTCTGGGGCTACAGCCCAGACCCACGGCCTGGGCATGGATTCCTCTGGGCTGTGCGCAGGCAGGGGGCTGCTCCTCCCGCACCCCAGGGCTCTGTTACCTTCCAGCTGGGTGGTGTGAGCTCCGTGCCCAGCCCGGCCTGCGCCCAGATCCCCCATTTCCTCCTCCCGGGCCTTCGCTGCGCTGAGCCCCCGGCTGGGGACTCTGGTGTGTCTCCGGCCAGCTCCCTCGCTGCCCCAGCCGAGACACTGATGCATGCTGCAGCCTGGAGAGGGGGGTCTGCCAGGCTCTGGGGGTTCTTGGCCTGGAAATAGCGTTCAGGGCTTGGTTGGCTGTGGTCCCTACCCACCTGCTCTGTGAGCGCCCGAGGGGTTGAAATCCCCGCCCAGGGCAGCCAGTGGAGGTTGGAGGCCAGAGGGCCAGGTGGTATTTGCTCCCACCCCTGCTGCATGGGGCAGTCCTGTCCCCTGGGATGTGCTGGGGGAGCACCTTGGAACTGGCCAGGCCAGGCTCCCCCATGCGCTCTCTGCAGCAGAGAGGCCGGGGGTGTTGCTGAATCTGGGGGCTGGGGCAGCGCCCGTGGGCCAGTGCTGTCAGCGTTTCAGGAGGGCTGCAGGATGACCGACCTAAAGGGACAGAGCCCCCAGATTAGGGCTGTCGGGGAGTCCAGCCAGGCGACCGTCCCTGGGGGTTTAGTGGGATTGTGGTTGGGGTGCCAGGCCTGGTGGCCGTGGCCGTGGTGGGATGAGCTGGGGGGACTCAGCCTGGTTCCTGCGGGAGAAATGTCCCCGTGGTCTCCGTGCTGGGGTGAGGCTGGATCTGGGACTGGCTCCACACCTTGGCCGTCTGGCTCTCGGGCTCCCTCTGCCGCGATGGTTCGTCCAACGGCCCGGCGTGGCCACCAGGGGCTGTCAAGGTGCTAGGCTTGTGTCCTGGGCACACGCCGGCTGGGGCCTCTCTGCCCCCTCCATCGCCACTTCTCTTCCTGAACTGGGGGCAGGATTCTCCCTCCCTGTCCCGAGCACTGGGGCAGTGTTGCTGCGTGCGGGTAACCAGCTGCCGGGCTCTGCCGCAGAGGTGGCTGCCTGTCGGAGGCGGGTGCAGTTTGCGAAGCGCGCTGAGAGAAGTTGAGATGAAAGAGAAGTGGTCGCTCCCTCGTAGCAGCCGGAGCTTCCTCGAGAGCCAGGCCAGCCCTGGGCCAGAGCCAGGTTCCCTTTCTGAAAAGGAAAGTGAAAAGTGCGGCTTGGCTTTCGCTTCCTCTCGGCAGCTCCCTGGCTGAGGTGGCCTTGCAGCTCGACGGGTGGTTATGGCCCCAGCTGCCCCACGTAGAAACCCAGCGCTGCACATGATTTGCACTAGGGAAGGAGCGGGTTAGCGCAGGGGCCGGGAGCCGGGACTCCTGGGTTCTTTTCTCACCCGGCTCTGCCTCACTGTGGGCAAGTCACTTCCCTGCTCAGCTGGGCCCAGGCATCGCTGCTGGGGCTGGCGGGAGACTGGCTGGGTGGGGTGGGATTTCCCCTGGGAATGGGCAGGGAAGGAAACCCGCTGTCCTGCCTCGTGCGCACCGTGGGGTGGGCAGCTCCGGGCACAGCGCAGCTGCGTGTGGGGCGGGGGGACTTTACAAATGATTTCTTAGAGAGGTTTTTTAAGGTGCTGCAGGAGCAGAGCTGCTGGGGAGTGAGGGGTGGCCCACAGAGTGGGGAGGGGGTTACCTACAGGAGCCGGGCCGGGGTGTGTGTGCCCGCAGAGTGCGGAGGGGTTACCTACAGGAGCAGGGCCGGGGGAGTGCCTGCGGGAGCTGGGCCAGGGGGGTTACCCGCAGAGTGGGGAGGGTGCCTGCTGTGTGTGTGGGGGGTTACCTGCGGGGCGGGGGTGATGCCTGCAGAGTGGGGGGGGGTGCTTGCAGCAGCCGGGCTGCCATGGTCCTTTCCCAAAGCAATGAGTCCGTGTTACGGGGCGGGAGAGCAGCCCGTCTTATAGCCAGTGTCCCCTGTGGCTTCTCCTCTTCCCAGCAGCTGCTCTGCTCTGGGGGACGGTCTCGTCTCGGGGTGGCCGGGGAGTCTCTGATTTCTGTCTGTCTGCAGGGCCCGGTTCCGGAGAGCGTTGCTGAGAAGTGCCCCCTGGCACCGGAAGGGGGGGGCTGGGCCGG